AGGTCAGCTACAAGAATATGTAATAAAAAATAGGGGATGCCGTTTAAAAAAATTGAGGTGACTTTCATGTGACTTTCAAATAATTCTTCAAGGTCAAGGCAATGGTAATGGTACCATCTTATGGTCCCCTCGAAACCAAACAACTTTTGTCTGAAAAATTTTTCTCTCCCGTGCTTGGTTTTCGACAAATTCGACTGGATGGATTAAAATGGTCCACCCTGTATATATATATATATATATATATATATATATATATATAGAGAGAGAGAGAGAGAGAGAGAGAGAGAGAGAGAGAGAATATAAATTAAGTGTAGTTATAATAATGATTTAATAATATTATTATTTTATATATAGGAATATGGAAAAGAAAATGGCAATTAGTATGCTAATGGTGAGTGAAATGCGTAGTACTACAGAGAGCTCAAGTTCCAGTGAAACGGATTGGAATAGTAGTATTTCTTTGGGGATGTGGTGGCGGTTGCCTCTTTTATATGGCGTGATCGGTCGCTCGCGGGGAGGGTGAAGTGACACTCGCTGTTTCTTTTAACTTTCAAATAACAAGTAACATTTATTCTATGTGGGTTACATGTGTGGGTGTGTGAGAGTTATGTGGGGGTGTCTGGGAATTGTTCCCGCCGTCTTAGGGCTCATCGAGCCGCCGCGTTTAGTCCCTTGCCATGGGGGCGACGCGTCCTTCTTCGCTGGGGACCACCAGAAACCGGCGTCCGATTCTCTTTCCCTGCGTGCCCGTTCGTGCGACCTGGTGAGACCGGTCGTAGAGCCTGGTTGTCGCCGCGAGCTAGAGGAACTGCTGCAGGTCGAGTTAACTCCCGCCGCGAGAGCCAGATGTGGTGGAGCTTCCACGGCGTGGGGATGAAGACGTTGGTCGCCGCAGACGCTGAGGGAGGTTATGAACGCCTCTTCGGCGTCGGTGGCCTCGTTGCCGCTTATCCAGCGGACACGCTTTTCAGCGCGAGGTATCGCTTATTCAGCCAGCGCACTTTGCAGCGCAAGGTTTCGCTTATTCAGCGAATGCACTTTGCAGCGCGAGGTTTCGCTTATTCAGCGAACGCACTTTGCAGAGCGAGGTATCGCTTGTTCAGCGAACGCACTTTGCAGCGCGAGGTATCGCTTGTTCAGCGAACGCACTTTGCAGCGCGAGGTATCGCTTGTTCAGCGAACGCACTTTGCAGCGCGAGGTATCGCTTGTTCAGCGAACGCACTTTGCAGCGCGAGGTATCGCTTGTTCAGCGAACGCACTTTGCAGCGCGAGGTATCGCTTGTTCAGCGAACGCACTTTGCAGCGCGAGGTATCGCTTGTTCAGCGAACGCACTTTGCAGCGCGAGGTATCGCTTGTTCAGCGAACGCACTTTGCAGCGCGAGGTATCGCTTGTTCAGCGAACGCACTTTGCAGCGCGAGGTATCGCTTGTTCAGCGAACGCACTTTGCAGCGCGAGGTATCGCTTGTTCAGCGAACGCACTTTGCAGCGCGAGGTATCGCTTGTTCAGCGAACGCACTTTGCAGCACGATGTATCGCTTCTTCAGCGAGCGCACTTTTCAGCGCGATGTATCGCTTATTCAGCGAGTGCACTTTTTAGCGCGATGTATCGCTTATTCAGCGAGCGCACTTTTTAGCGCGACGTATCGCTTATTCAGCGAGCGCACTTTTCAGCGCGATGTATCGCTTCTTCAGCGAGCGCACTTTTCAGCGCGAGGGGTAGTGCCTCCAGGTGCTGTTGGTATAGCTGTCGGTACTATGGCTGTTACTAAAAGTCGCCTATATTGACCAGTGCAGCGGAGTGCGAGTGTGTCCGACCACCCGCTGGGTCTGACTTTTATTGTCTCTTAATTGAGATTTCCTCGCGAGAAAACCCCCCCGCGAATGCGCCACCGAACGGCGTTGCGCGGAGGCTCTCGTGGTTGTGCGGCAGCTCGGCGAGCGGCGGCGGCTCGGCTAGCGGCGCCGCGCTTGTGTGTGCGGATCTATATCGATCCGCCACAATTTCTATTAGCAATACATCTTCAAGTAGTGAAGAAAATGATAGTTATTTAATGTTATTTCCTTTATTAAAATATTTAACTAATGGACGTAAGAGACATCGAGTGGAACATTACCTTAATATTGTGGATAGCTGGACAGATTTGGAATTTAAGGAGCATTTGCGAGTTAAGCGTATCACTGCAAATCAATTAATAGGTAATATTTATTTTTATTTTAAATTTTATTTTAAAAAATTATATAATGTTGTTAACATGGTTTTATAATATTTAATACCTATAGTTCTTTATCATATTTTTAGATGAATTACAAGAAAGTGGGTTTATTCCCACGCATTTATTTAGAGTAAAACCAATTGAAGTAAAACTCAGTTTTCTTATATTTTTGTGGCACTTAGCAAACACAGAACCTTTGCGGACAATATCAGATAGATTTGACGTTTCAATTTCATCTGTTTTTCGAATAATTTGTCGAGTTACAGTTTGGATTTTGACAAAATTAGATAATGTTATCAAATGGCCTCAAGGACAAATAGCCTCAAGGTTGTATATGTTTGTCATGAATTTGAAACTAATAGAGGCATGCGAAATATAATAGGAGCAATTGATTCCACTCATATTAGAATAGAAAAACCTAATATCGAAAATGTAAAAGACTATTGTAGCCGCAAAAAATATTTCTCTGTAAATCTGCAAGCTGTTGTAGATGCGAGTATGAAATTCACAAATATATACTGTGGTCAACCTGGTTCTCTCCATGACGCACGAGTGTTGAGAAAATCTGCATTATACAATGTAGCTAATGAACATAAAGAAGAAATGTTTCCAAATGACACGTTTATAATCGGAGACTCTGCATATCCATCATTGCAGTGGCTTGTTCCTCCTTTTCGTGATAATGGTCACCTTACTGCTCAACAGACCGAATTTAATTTCATACATTTTTCTTCACGAATTGTTATAGAAAGAGCATTTGGTTATCTCAAAGAATGTTTCCGACGGATTAAATTTTTTACAGAATATCGTGACATGTCATTCATTACAAAAACTATTGTAGCTGCATATATTTTGCATAATTTGTGTATAGATTACAATGACAAGAATGACAATGATTATAATGTAGAAATGGAGGAATTGGATGTAAATATTAATAATAATCTTAACGAGAATATTAATTGGGGAGACCAGGTAGGTCGAAGAATGCAAGTATTCAGGGAAATATTTACTCAGGAATAAATAATGTACATTTGGTAATCCAGTATCATGAATATATTTGTTACAAATTAACATAGAATAGTAGACAATAATAAAAAAACATAGGAAGTAAAAAATAATAGTACTAACTTTGAGATAACAAACCGATAGCTACACTACCAATAGAAACACAAAATAAATGAACACTTGTTTTTTGAATATGCAATTATTAATTATAATTACATATAACTGTATATGGAATACATTAATACCCATTAAATAAAAATGCATTTTGTAAATAAATTATTATGCACTTTGTAATAATTATTATAAATAATATCCATTTACTCGTTAGAGTCCTCACAGATAGTTTCTTGTATTCCTTTTTTTTTGTTATATGCTAAATCACATCCTATAATTGCAACTAAAATACTAAGTTACTAAATACTTGTATTAAAATTGAAAAAAAAACAAAAATTTAATCATAATACTTTGCTACAAAACGACTTAATGTTATGTTAAATATTAAATGAAACTGAATTTGTATTAAAAGTAGTAATAATTAAAGTTAAATGATCCTACATCTGAGTTTATAAGTATATTCGACCTACGTCAAGGTTTATACACATGATACTTTCGTTAAATAAATATATATTTTTATTTATTTCTTTTTAAGTATTTGTTTACAAACAATGACAGATATATCTTTAATTATTACTACTTATTCATAAGTGTGAAATATTAATCTGAATCATCGGACATGTCTTTCATATTTCCTTTAATAAATAATCTTATTAGTAATTTTTTTTTCAATTTGTATCATTTCAGTATACTTATTTTCTTTTTCCTTTAATTTTTTATTTAATAATTCCTTTTTTTTGTTCCATTTCTTTTTTTTAAAAACTATTATTTGTTTCTTTAGCATTAAGCTTTCAGTCGCTCTCTCTCTCTTCTGACTTTACATGTCTTTCATCGCGTGCAGCATCTCTTTTCACTTTGTCTTGTAAAAATTTAAGCCACTGTTCTTCAATATTTAGTTTTTTATTTACTAAATTCGACCCCGTTCCATGACCACGACGAGTTTTAATTTCTATTTTTTTATTAATTATTGGTGGCGAGGCATCTAAGACTGTAGAAGTAGAGACAATAGGACTTGTAGGAACAGATATTACTGTATCTGTCGATGATGTTTTAGGTGTATCATTTGCAACATCCTTTTGAATGGATAATGCAGACTCAGAATTTTTTTTTTTTTTATTTGACTTGATATGGTGTGGGCAGCAAAAGCGTCTTTGTTTCTGCCAAATATTTCGTCCAATTGATTGTACCATTTAAATTCCATTTTACCCCTGCCTGACTTGTCATTGTTATCGCAACATTCTTTATATTTCTTTTGTAAGGCGTTCATTTTCCATCTAACTTGATCATTGGACATCTGTTAAAAGAAAACACTATTTGGAACAAAAGCATTGCTATGATATAATATATTACAAGTATGAGATAAAATAAATATATTATAATTAGCAGTCATTTTAGTCGTTTATTTTTGTGTATAAAAAGTATGCTAATCTTTATCACATACCTCAATTTTGAAATCTTTTAGACCATCTGTTATTGCTGTCCAAATTCTCCCTTTTTTTTTTGGATGATCTAAAATCGTCCGCGTGGGTGGCGGACGTAAAGAATACCCCCAACGTATGGCCTGCGTGTCGTAAAAGGCGACTAAAAGGCCCTCATGGGTGGGTTGCTGCGCCCATGAGTATTAGGAGCCGGAGGGCTCCCCTCCTTCTCGCTTCAGAGAGGGAGGGAAGCCCAATGGCGCCTACAGCAGGGGAGCGTACCGGATCCCTTATGCCAGTATGGCACCGGTCTCTCGGGTGGGCAGCGGCGCCCGAGAGTTTCAGAGGGGGGCGAGCGCGCCCGGCTGTCCTCAGGGCAGCCGGTGCGGGTGAACCGTCCTCACCGCGGGGGCAGTCGGGTCCCTTATGTCAGTACGGCAACCGGCCTCCCGGGTGGGCAGCTGCGCCCGGGAGTAGTAAGATCCTCGGTGAATACTTCACCGGGGATCCACAGCGGGGGCAGGGCGGGCTCCTGAGGCTCTGTTGAGCCAAACCGCCCTAGGGAGCGGCCCGAAAAGCCGCCCGGGTTGGGGAGCCGCCGTCATGCCCCCCATTAATTTTATGATGGAACAAAAAAAAGGAGCGATCGGCGGCAGATCGGATATGTCGCACCGGCACGGGGGGGCTATGGTCCCAGGCACCCCCGGGTCGTCAACGGACGATGGGCCACGCGAAACCGGTGCGTCTACGGCGGGCGCGCCGGCGGATATGGCGACCGCCGAGGGTTTAGGG